TCCGGTCGTGTTGCCTGCCCCACGGCTGACTCTGATTGACATCAGGCACTTAACGCATTTCTGTGTCGCCCCAAAGTGGACACAAACTCCACGTTAGTTGGCACGCCCCATCACCACGCCCTGCGGCCGTCGTTAATGAGCCGCAAGTGCGCAACAGTTGAGTTGAGTTGAGTTGAGTTGAGCTGAGCTGAGCCGAGCAGCAGCCATCGCCGCGTGAGTTGATGGCATGTGAGTTCGTCTCTGTGCCACGTGCCGCACAAACACAATTTGGCCAAAACTGTATGTTGACAACTTTGCGAGTAAATCAAATTAAAGCACGAATGATGACTGCTGAATGCTGACTGACTGCGTTGTAATAAAATTCAGAAATAGTTGAAGTTCGAAAACCAATAGAAAAAGTTTTATCTGCAGCTCTACGGCTGAGCTTTAATGTGATAAGCAAATGAATGTCAATAAAGATATATCTGAATATATTCTTGATAACAACTAAGTATATTACTTATTCTAGTATATCAATGTTATTAGTATTATTATCAATATTATTATATTGTTATATATATATATTATTATTATATATATATATATTATTATTATATATAATATAATATTATTATATTTAATTTTAGTAAATTCAAAAGTTCTTGAAGTTCTGTGAAGCGCTTCTGGTGAGCTGCTGCAAAATAATTCATCTGAAAATAACCCGATAACAACTAAGTAAAGTCTATAAGTATTATTATTAATGTCAATCATTATTCAAACATTTCTAAACAATAAAATGAAAGGCAATACGAGTTTAGTCAACTGTTAACTGTTTTCTATTTTTGGTAACTTTAGTTGATTCAAATGGCTTTTGTTTTGTTAGCAGCCGAGCTCCACTGAAATGTGTCTAAAATAATAGGAATATATAAATATATAAATTATTTTAAGGCATAAATTATTCGAACAATAAACGCCCAACCATTAAAACGCCAAGTTACAAATTTTTGTTGGCTTTGTCCTTTATATAATGCCTATATATTTTGTGTGTGTGTATGACAGAGAGAGAGAGGGAGAGTGACAGAGACAGAGATACAGCATAACTATAACAAATTGAATTTTATCTCAATTGTTGGCTTTGAATAGTTTATTAGCATTCTGCAGACTCATCTACGTGATGTCAGCACATTTACATGAACTTTTAATGGTTTGTTCTTTTCAGATTCCATCAAGCGCTATGCAACAAATTCGTTGAAAGTTATATAGGTCACTTTAGAAATTGAGTTAGCTATGCAAATTGTTAATTATGTCATATGTTGCATAGTGAGCAGTGGAAAAATATATATGTATGTACAGTTGTGCCTTTGGCTGATGTCAGCTGGCCAGCGAGCGGCGCATGGCGAAGTTCGAAGTGATTTGGATGAAAATTGGTTTAAATACCCTTCCAAATCGATTTCATTGAAAAATGGTTACATTCGCTGTGCAATTCCCTATGCAAAAAAAAAAAAACAAAATACGCATTTTTCCTGAGCTCATTTTTGAATTCTGAATTCTGCTCTTCTTTCCTAAATAACAAAAATATTATTCTGAACTCAGCGTCGACTTTTCTAAGTATGTAGCCTAGTTGCTTCACTTATCTTTCTGCGTTTCTTTAAGCTCTTCCTTAAATATACTTTTCTCTATATTTGCTGTTGGTTTCTGAGAATCCGATCGCTTTGTAGTTGTAGCTCTATTTTACTTAGCATTTCTAAGGACTTTGACTTTGGCTTTCCCAATGCTAAACTCAATTCATTACTTTTGCCGCTTCTCTGCTTGTCTTCATTGAAGTTATTTCATTTCAGCTTCTCTTTCGTACCTTTTTTACGTATTACACAATTCCCTTTTCTTTATGTTTCTGCCCTGAGCTTTTACTAAATGATTTTCAATATTGCTTAACTCACTTCTGTTATGTTTTTTTTAAGTAAATTTTAACTCCTCGACAAAAAGTTCTTTTAATATTTTTACTACTTTTACTTGGCATTGCCTTAATTTCTTTAGTTCCGCTACGCTTCTCGCTGCCCTGCCTTCTTCAGCTTCGAGCCATTTTTGATAGCACAATAAATTCTTGATTAATTAAATGCTTAGACAAAAGTTTTAAATCTTTTCTTTTACAGTTTAACACATATATGCATATATATATTTTATTTAGTTTTTATAGAGTACACAATAAATTCGGTGGGCATTTAGTTAGCTTTGATTTGAATTTATGTTTAGCGAGAGTTTTGCTTTTTTTGTTTTTCTTTTAGCGTAAATCAAATTTAAAGTCGTCGCTTTGGACGTCACACGCAGCGTATGCGCGATGCAGATTGCGTATACGCCATGTTTTACATATATTTATGTTATTTATTTTTGTTAAGGGCTTGGTAAAAGTTAGCGCTACTTCTGCGAGGGTGTATGAGTGTGCGTGTGTGTGTCTGTGTATTTGTTGTTGCGCACTTTACAAACTGCTGCAAATTAAAAGTTGGGCCAAGCAAAACTTTTTTTACATTTATTTTTCAGCTGCAGTCGAATTAACATTCAAGTTCAGCCACTGCTGGTATGTATTTATGTATGTATGTGTGCGAGTATATGTGATTGTCTGCCAAATGATAAAGTGCACTTGAGAAATCTGTGAGTGAAGGTTAAACAAAGCCAAAGTCCTGGCCAGCTCTGCGGCAGGCAGCTGCTCACGAGCTCCAATTACAATTTGCGCATATGAAAATAGTTAAGTGTGTGTATGTTTATATATGTGTGTATGTATATGTGTTTGATGAAGTCTCTAGTATATAACTCTGCTTTATATAACTATAAAAGCGCTTGAGTTAGATAGATAGATAGATGGATAGAAAAGACACTAGGCAGCCGCTGTGTAAATATTTGTTCTTAAACATTTCGCTTTAGATATTCTAAAAGATAGTTACATAAATATATGCAATGTATATATTGATATTAATATATAGTATATTTATATGTATATAGAGTTTTACTAAATTCAGTAACATTTTAGGCTTAGATAATAACAACAGTCAACATTTAACAGTCATTCCGATATGAGTTTCATTTGCATTTTGTGTGTTTTGGAAGAGATTTCTTTGTTTGTTTGCCAAGTCTAAAGTTAGTTAGTTTCTTTTTGTTTTTGATATAGTTGGCGCTCTTTTTGAAAATATATATATCGTCTAGTTACTCAAAGGAGCTTAGTTAAGTACACACTTAAAAATATAAATTTATTAAAACACATTCGTTTATTTAAATACTTATATAGTTCTGCTGGATTATATACTTTAAGCATATTTCTTTATATATATAAATATTTACTTTGTTTTTTTTTTTTTTTTTTGGAAAAAATTGACAGCACATTATTGAATTGAAAATGGTTTTGGAACACATAGAAATATAATTTCAATTATGTATGTATATGTGAGCCTATCTTTCGGCTAATTCTTACTGCCACGCGTCTGTTTAGCGCTGTTATCAGCCTCAACAAAAATTTAGGTTTGCCTTGGGGCTGTGCCAAGGCCAGACGCTCGAACTGGCGATAACTGCCGCCTCGCTGCCTCGCAGCTGTCTGGGTCTAGCAGGCAATCCAATCATAACATCCGCTATAAACAAAATGCTACAATCGCTACTCGAGCCGGGGGCCTGACCGCACGGCCCAAAGTGCCAACGACTTGAGCATATGTGAGAAACGCGTCTATAGGAAAAGGTAAACACGTAGTTGACGTTCCACAATTTAAATTGGACTCAGATTCGCTTTGCTTAGTCTATATCCACTTTCAGGATATGCGGCTGTCAGTGCTCAAGTTGTCTGACCCTGAGTTAGAGTTACTGCTGCCGTTCGTACTAGTTGGCTACAATTTATGCTTTCAGTTAGTTGAGCTTTATTGAGTTAACCAACATTTAGGCTTGCTTTAATTTATCCCTTAGGCTCGTTTTGTGGATAGGTCGAGTTTCTTTCGAAGTGCATTAAAAATGCATGTGCCTGTCAAAGTTCGTGTTAGTTAACCATAAGTTAGGATTGCTGTGATTTAGCTGAAGTGTGATCTGCTTCCCTTTTAGTAGACTTGAAGTTATTATAAATTTAAAAATAGTTGTTTTTGACTGCTTCATTTGAAGTTTACCTTAGCTAAGTCGAGATCAATCCTAGCTATTTCCTTGTGGATTTCTAGTTCAGTGTAGCTAAAGAGTTTAAGCGTAGGTAAAGTTAATTTCAGTTTCGGCTTCCAGCTCTCACCGCTCTCCCACATTCAACCCACTTTTTGCTACTTTCAATTCATCGCGGTTCATTACTCAAAGTTAGTTAATATGTTAAACCAATCTCAGACAGACTTTTTCATATATTGCTGTAAAAGTTCTTGCTTATTAATCAACAGCTTTTCAGCTCCCAGCCCAACTCTCAGTTTATATCTCTTTTGCAACTATCACAGTTCACGTTAGTTAGTCAACAAAAGTTTTATATAATTTCAGCTTTTTCCATTCTGCTGTCAGTTGCTCGGCTTTGACTTGGTTCCCCTAATGGCCCTGTCGTAGCTTGGCTAGCTCAAAGTTTTGAAAGCTTAATTCTTTTTCGTTCAATCCGCAGTTAATAACAAAATAAGCAGGCGCAATCTATTGCACCACCTGCTAAAGCAGTTGTTAACTTTGGCAAGCACTTGAGTAACAGGCCGAAATGACTTTGCAAAGACACTTGTTTTTAACAAATTGATAACATTTTGTGGCTCAGCAGCTGCTCTTAACTGTTGTGAAAGTCTTCCTCACATATACACACACATTCTATATAGGTCTATATCGTACACAAATTGGCTGTAACATATTTCATATAATTTGTTTTTTTTGTTGTTTTCTTTGGAATTTTTTGACTCAATATTCATAATAATTTGTATATGTTTATAATACTCGTAAAAACACCTTTAAAAAGAGAACATCAAAACAGTTTTTATGCAAGCTGAGCATTGGCTATATGATATATAAATATATGTATATATATATGAATATATATGTGTGTTTTATATATGGGTTTTATATGGCTTTAAAATGCTAGCAAAATAATCTTTGTTTAGCTCTGGTTGTTTTTGTTTCTGTATTTTGTTTTTTTACTTATTTTTGCGTTCTTCTTCTGTTTTGGATATTGATTTCTGCTTTGCCTGCTTTGGGGGAAATTTTCATTGTTTTGCTTGCTCCATTTTAGCATTGTTTTTACAGCACGTGAAGATTTTCACAGCTCTTGGATTTGGAAATATCGCTAAGGCAAATTTTTTGCAGTATTTCCTTGGCCAGATGCAGCGAAATGTGAGTGCGCGAGGTTTTCATCTTCGACGAGGTAGCTTTCTTCTCGCGCGTCTCCTTCAGCCGCATCTGCAAATGTAATATGAGTAACACAGCAAACGTTATTGCAGCACTCTTGAAAGGCTCTCGACGGCTGCCCCACTTTTAATACCACTCAGCTAGTCCGTCCAGCCTGGCGCAGCTCAATTTTCATTAATTAGTGAAACGATGCGAAAGGCTAACACCAGCAACCGAACGTACCACAAATCCATTTAAGTCATTTCCTACACAATTTTCGCATGCATCAATGAGTTGCGTGTATTTCGCACCTAAACCTAAATAACCGCACAGTCAACTCTACCCTCAACAGGACTTCCTTTCAACCATAAAGCCCAACCATAGTATCAGCTGCTGCTGCTGTTGCTGCTGCTTACCTGCTTGAGTATCCCGACGAGCAGCTCATCGACATTGTGCTGTATGCCGCTGGACGTCTCAATAAATTTGGCATCGCGTGAGGCAGCCAGCGTTTTGCCCTCTGTGAGTGCGTCAGAGCGTGAAACGTGAAATATGAAATGTAAAATGAGAAATGAGAAATCATAATTAAGCCAAGGCATATTCGTCTAGGCTTTCTCTTTTAACCAGAGATGATAGCGTGTTATTCACCTCCTCAAACTCAAGTATTGCATTTCTATTGAATGTATTGTCTAATACTTAATTATCATTATCTATCAGGAATTAAATCCAATGTGTTTTAATGTATTCATTATATTTTATAGGTAATAAATTATACCCTATCTACGCACAATATAATCATCCATACTCTTCGAAACTTGTTCACATCTATATCTTTAATCTGCACAGTTTTTATATTAAACTATCACAATTAGCTCTTGAAATTGATTCATCTATTACTTTAAGTATTGAATAATCGTTGATGATTTAGATATTGATAACTTATGGACTTACTTTATGAGCTCGCAGTAAAATTCTTTGACTGTGTTTTCTTTATACACATTGAACTCATTAGTTCTCATCACTCTAAAAGTTCGTTTCGATTATTGACTTAACTTCACGTTGCTAAACCTTAAAGGTATTTTCTGCGAGTCGCACCCATCTCTATTTATAACCTCCCTTTCCTTTCCTAGCCCATTACTCACCCTGTGACGTGATGAGCCTTGCGCGCGCCAAGTCCGCCTTATTGCCCACAAGTATGACTGCTTTGTCCTTGGTGTAATTCTCTTGCCACAAATAGTTGATAATCTCCTCGGCGATGCGGAAGGAGCCTTTGTCCACCACAGAGAAGACGACAACACAGCCATGCGGCTCGTAGGTGGATAGTGAGTTCTCGACGCTCATCTCAACACTGGGATGATCGATGAATACCATGTCGGATTCTTCGTCGTCGAGCAGCACGCTGACCGTCTTCTCGCCGAACTCATCGTCTAAAACTCAGATCAGAATTAAACTCTATAGACGCAAGCGGAAACCAGCGGCAATCGGGATCAACTGAGGATCATACGACACGCATAGGTTTCATCTAAGGGTATCAATCACTACTCACTCTGTGTACTCAGCACCCAACTGTTCGAGACTTGGTCCGGGGCAATCAAGCGACAGACAGAGGGAGAGAGAAAGAGCTATCAACTTACCCAGACTTGCATCGTAGGTGTGCATGTACTCCGATGTCATGAATTGATTGACCAGCGCCGTCTTGCCCACGCCCGCATCGCCTAGCATTACGACTCGATAGCGAGCCGGTGGAGGTGGATCCATGTTCTCCGAATCATCGGGGGAGGCGGGCAGCGAGTCCACATTCGCATAGCCCGCACCACAGCAGCTGCCCTCGAAGGGCGATCGTTCACTGGCTCGACTATTCGTCGAATTGACGCTCGTGTTGCTGCGCGATCGGCGAGATATGATCGAGTCTCCACAGTTGACCACGTTGCCTTTGCTGATAGAGAAGTGGCGCAGGCGATAGAGATCATCGCTGGCCCGTGGATTATATGGACGCTCCGGCAGCGAACAGACGCGTGGGCGTATGTGATCGGGAACTGTTAAGAAAGCGAATCAAGATTCATTTTGCTGACTGATTGATGAGAAACACACGCTGGCAGAAAAGCTGACTTATCGGATTTGGTATAGTATCGAAAATCGAATCACTAACGGGCGTGAAAGATGAGTGAAAAGTATTTTTGCGCGACTCCAACAAACTTGACAGCCTAATTCAAGGAGTGTGCTATAAAGCTGCGAAGTTGCCAAGGTAATAAGCTAGAACCTAACGTAATATACTATATAAACTGAACAGTTTTTGTATATATATGTATGTATGTATATATGTATAAGCGAAAATAACTTAGCCTAAGAGTGCTTTCATTAAGACTGCTCGACTGGCAGATACTATGCAAGAATATCAGTCAAAGCGCTGATATTTCAATCATCTTACGCTCCTTTTACACATATATACATTACGATCAACACATTCACACACACACACACATGCATAGGCACGCTCTCTGCTTACTGCGCAGTTTATGCAGCGACTGCGCTTGGACTGCAGACTGCAGTATGTGCTTTAGCATGGCAACTTAAGTGTGGAATAACTGCTTCTAGATGGACTTTTCTAATCAAATTTTCAGCTCACGATAATGACAATCATATGTGTGTAAAACACAAGTCTCGAGTATCTGAGGGGAAGTGGGGGAAGCATTCAGAATTCATTACAGAAATCGACGCAGTAAATCTGATGCCTTCAGATTTTAAGGTATTCAGGTTACGCTTAAATCGATTATTATCGATAGTAATTATAGCTATTGCAAAAAATGACAACTGCATAATGATTATGGTAGACACAAGTCAAATTTTAAGGCTCTAGCTCCTGTGGTTTATGAAATCGCTGCATTCACACGAACAGACTGGCGGCTACGCCTACATCGACTCAGCTCGATCCTAATAGGTCCTGCCTCAGGCAGAAGAATGCGTGGCAAACCCCATAAAGTATATATGTTCTTGATCAGTGCGAGCTGCTACCTACCTGGAAGTTCTAAGAAGTTGGAAGTACGTCGCTGTCGTCCACGATTGGAGCTCTGGAAGGCCAACGGACCGATGTCATCGTTAGAGAAGATGGAAGCATTCGAGCAGGCGCTCTTCATGGACTCTCGCGAGCTACGTCGACTGGCCAAGTAGGCGAGGCCACCCTTGGAGCTGCCCCTGCGCCTTGGCTTGTACTCGACCGCATCTCGCTTTGGCTTTGCTGGCTTACAGCCGCTTAGTTCGTGCTCGGCGTCCTGGGTTAAGTCGCTTGTCGATTTGCGATAGCGTAGCGACACAACGCTATCCGAGCAGGTGCGATCCAAGGTGGAATGAGAGCTGTGGAGCACTTGGTAGCCTGGATTCGAGGTGATGTTGATGGCATGCCGACGCTGTCGCTGCTGCTGCTGCTGCGGTTGGCCTGCATCCGTGTCCGTGTAGCTGAAGCTCGTCGTGGTGGTGGTTGTATGCTGGGTTGGCGTCTCGCCCGACTCCATGGACAGCTGTGTGCACTCCGTGACACAGGAGTCGCGCTTCAGGCCGTAGTAGCCAGGAGTGGAGTAGCCGCACGATGATCCAGCACCTGTTCCTGCAGCTGATGCAGCTGCTGCTGCCGTTGCATTTAGAGAACGCGCATCGATCTTCGTTATGATGGGCAGTTCCCACTCGTCCCGCCGTCGCTTGCCTGCCACACCTGTTGTGGTTAGTTGCGGCACCTGCTCCAGCTGCGTCGCGTGCCCACGAATTAGCTTCTTTGAGCCCTGACGCCTTGGAGAACTCGGCGGCTCATAGTAGAGTGAACCATCATCCGGGGAGATGGGCTCATAGTACTCAAATTTCTTGCCAAGCGCTGCCTGGTCCATGCAGCCAGCTGGGCTGACAGCATCGAAGACGAATTTACATGGAGACTTGGGGCTGTGGGTCAGCAGCGAGACGGAATCGTCAATGGAGCCCGACGGCGGCGTCTGATAGTAGGACGAGGGCGTGGAGATGCTTGCCTCATCACAGCTGTCATTAGCATAGGTTGTTGTTATTTTCGGGCTGCGTGGCGGTTGATCATAGTTGCCATAGCCGTAGCTGCTGCTCGACTGAGTGGGCGTGGCATAGACAGAGGGCGGCGCCGCAAAGTAGCTTCTGCTTTGGGCAAGGCTTGTTTTTTAACAACGAATTGAGTGGGGCCTTGTTCGACTCACCTGGGCGACTTGGGCGTGGCGCCTTTGTAGGGCAACGGATTGCTAGCAGCTCGAGCTGGCGTCTTGTGTCCGCCATGGCTGTGCGTGTGGGCGTTTGTCTGTGTGTGTGGGTGTGCATGTGTGCCATAGTTAGAGGACGCATCGCCGCCATCCCAGCTGTGCTGCTGCTGTGCCATATTTACCAAATGCTGGCAGGGATTCGGGGCGCTTGAGTAGATTTACTGCTCCAGCTGCTGATGCTGATGATGCTGCTGCTGCTGCTGGTGCTGCTTTTGCTGTAAGTTGAATGCCACTCATGTGTAAATATCACGGGCCATTACTCAACACACACACACACACACACACACACTCTCAAGCGCTGTGCACACATAATTTATGGTTTTATCTTTATTTAATAAAATAATGCAAACTACAATAAAACCAAAACTCATAAAATGGCTGCGCTGACTTCCACGTCGAGATCCGACATCCAACATTAAATGTTGCCCGCGGGCAGCTCTTCTGAATGCGTATTTGAATGTGTGTGCGTGGGAGTGTGCGTGCGTGTGTGTGTGCTGCGTGTGTCAGCAAATTGTTGTGAAATGTGCGTTCATCTCGCTTTAAGTTGACAGCCCAAGTGGCCGTGGCCAAGGCTCTGGCTCTGGCTCTGGCCCTGGCCGTGGCCCTGGCTCGAGACCCCCAGCCACCCACAACATCAGCTTCTCGCTGCCACCCAGCAGCTACTCCTCGTTTAGTCACTCCCATCTAACTGGCTGTCCCTGTTGGCATTGCAACTCGTTGTTGCATGCAACAGTTGGCTTTTGCCGTGCGTTAAAAATTAATGCTTGTTCTACCCTGTTGCCACATTGTAAATGGACTAAGCAGCTAATATTCTGCGAATGAAGGGATATTAGCAGCTCAGACTTTACAGCTTTGTCAAATATTTCACAAATTACACGTTTTGATTGTATCTGACTCTTTGCTTTGTGTTTCAGTGGAAGATTGTCCAGGTCTAAGGCATACTTTAGACAGTTGATTATTCTTTTATTGCCTTTTAAAGTATCTTACATCATTCTAGTCTCAGCATGTTAAAACCTAAGATAAGCTGGTTTGGATCGTCCAACCTTCTAACATATCTCTGTCCATCGTCTACACTTTCGTATAAACACATTCATCCTTAACTATATATATTTAAGCCAGAGTATCTTTCTGTCGTACATGCTCTGTTAAATCTTGGCTGTCTTTTTCACTGCTTTCGTTTGGCTTCACAAACTACCAACTCTCATCAGCCCTCATACACACACTGCCACACACAAACTTTTATGCATTGGCTACAAAAGATTTGTTCCGGAAGTTTTCTGAAGCACTTTGCAGCAGTTACTTAACTTGAACCACGTCTGCGACTGACTCGAAGTCGAAGTCGCAGTCTACGGCTGCTGCGGCTGCTCCTCCATTGACTCAGGTGTAATAAGTTGCTCAGCTGCTAGCGGCATTACCTGGCAAATGTGTTGAGCATTTTGTAGTCTCAGTTCAGAAAGTTCTCGGGACAGCTGTCAACTGATTTTGTTCTGATTGTTGCAGCCTAGAGGCTCATACAAACTATTCGTACTGTAGTTTTTACGACTGTCTGCTCCACATTGACAATAGCAGCTAGTCGGATTTGCGTAGATTAAAAATGTAAGCTGTAATATACACTGTATGCAGGGCATAGTGTGAGACAAAGAAGGTGTTGGACTAATATGATTTAAACGTCGTTAAAAATGCATAAAAATATACCGTGACATCAGATCAATTAGAGAGACATTATAGAATATATAGAACTATATATTAATTTGCTTGACTACTCCATTTCATCAGCAACAGGGTATCAACAAAAAAAAACAATATATATATGTCTATATATATATTTATCTATATATATATATATATATATATATATAATAATCCAGCCGTAAAATCGCCCCCGTCACTTACATGCGCCAATCTAGTGTCACATTCTATTGTGCGCCTCTAGTCTCAGCTCCTGTCCGCATGGCTCGTAACGTAAATCCCAACTGTTGCCTGTTGCCTGCTTTGCCACCTGGCCCGCTTGCTAAATAACTTATCTATTGTATGAGCCTCTATACAAATGGCCGGGCACCCACTCACCACGGCCGGACACAAAGCGTGAATACGTGTTCATAATGTCGAGCAAATAATATGAATGCGCCCAGAGATAAATACATGTGTACAAATGTGTACTTATGTGATACCTGTTGGTCGTTTATATAGCCCTAGCCTGCTGTCGGGGGAGTATATTACGATTGGATAAGTTTTCCCAGGTGCGCCAGTTGCGGCAAATTAAATAATTGAGTAGCAGAAAATCAACCGCCGAAGTCGTGATAACATTTATTAAACTGAACTGAAAAAAACTTCTCTGTTAAGTTTCTTTCAGATAGGTCTCAGATTGCTTAACTTATAAAAAAACTAAAATGAATTTTATATAGAAATTCATTTATTGCTGCATAACAACTTATTTCAGTCAATAACTATATCGGAGGAAAATGTAGAAATATAGACGAAAATTCTGGCTAACTTCTCTACCGAGCTTCTTTCAGTACACTCACAGATTTAATGATCAGTTCATATGTATAGTCAAATATATAAATTAATATCATAATCAGTGAATGAAAAAACTCTTTGAAGTTTTTCTCTCGCGCTACTTTTAGCAATATCGAAAGTCTGTTGCCCAGGCCAAAGGATTACAGAATAACTGTCATAAAAGTTCAGTTGCATCAGTTAATGAACATAGTATTATATTTATAAGTAGATTACTAGTTTTCTGCTAAGCTACTTTCCGTTCAATCATTTGACAATTTACATACGTTAAATGACTTGATACAGACAGTGTTTAAAGTACTTAAATTTGTAAATTAACTTATCTAGCAAGCTTCTTTCATTATAATGTGCAGAATGAGAGTTGCGTCAGTTGAGTAAACAAGTTTCAGAAGAGCAACTCAAACTTAAAATAATTTATCTGTTAACTTCCAATAGTTTTTAGTCTCTGGATATCTACAAATAATAGTTAAGGATCATTAAGGATTATTAAGTAGTCGCATATCAAGCGCAATCCCTTTATTTATCTATCTCACATCTTCTGCATCTTCTAACCTGCCTACAGGGTATTTAACAGTTGTGCTCCACATTTTTTTATCAATACAACTAGGCTAGGGAAACACGGAACATGGCCTGTTGCCACCGCAACCAATCGGCCGAATACATGGAGGAAGGCAAGCAGAGGGTCAGAATTGTGACATGGATGGAATAATCATAAAAATGTTGAATAGAGAGCATTTCAGATATGTTCAAGGCCAGCCATGGACATGAACAACAACAATAAATTCAATGGGATAAAAAAGAGAAGCAACCCAAGCAACCAAAGCGACCCAAGCCCAACCCAACTCCCAACCGGCTCTCATTCAACTGGTCTTCAATTCGAGTTTCTATTGGCATTATGTTTATTGTCTATGCATGAATGATAAATCTGAAAGCGAAACCCGAAAGCCTCGTGCCAGCCTTGCCAATGCCATTGCCATTGCCATTGACATTGCCATTGTGACTTACGCATTGGTTTTGAGAGAGTTTTAACAAGAAAAGGCATCTGCCTGGATTTGCACAAAGTAATTGTAGCAACTTTCAGTCTTCGGCTGCTGCAAAAGTTAATTCACTCAATCAGTCAATAGGACATTTCATTAATAAAATGAAAGTCAAATTATTTATGATTTAAAGCTGCCCCAGTTAAACAGCGAAAGGCAAGTTCAACAAATGTTGAATGTTCCGAAATGAAATTTGATGAATTTTATTTAAATAAGTCGTTGGTGTAAGCAACATAATATATTCATACTTCATTTAGCCGAACTAGTATGTTATGCAAATTCATTTGTTTTTGTCGGAATGTAATACAGGCGAACTTGCCTATAGCGCACTATAAGAAATAAAAAGCAATTTGAGTGCAAAATTTGAACATTCAAATCTTTATGGGAGTAGACCTAAACAATTTGCTGAATCTAATTTCCATATTAAACACTTCATAAAAGCATACACTCGAGTTGTTCGACATATTGTAGTTTGACTGTATTTGCGAGTTATGCATGCATTTGATCGAATAAATCTGCGGACCAAACCAACTGAAACTGATTCGATTTAGCGTTGGATTTGTGTGTGTGAAAAGGAGAAAAAAGGGATTTGCATATTTGGAAAAAACTCAGCTGAATTGACAATGTAATTTGTTTGAGTATTATGCGTGCCGTGCAGAAATAGTTGGCCAGAAGTCATCAAAAAAAACGAGAGAAAAAGTTCAAATGTCTGTGACCTGTAGCAGAGAAAACACAACTTTGACGTCAGTTGCCACCAATTCAAACCCTAATCCCAACGCCAGGCCCTATTAACGTCATGGAGTATAATGAACTCAAGTGCATTTCTCACAGCCATTAACTTGTGGCTTGTTCTGCACTGAGAGAAAAAAGGGTAGAGTTTGGGTTGTTTTCAAGTTAACAAAATTTCTTTTAGTTTTTTTTTACCGTTTTAAGTTACGTTCAAATTAACTAAGCTCGTCTAATTTATTTGAATTTCATTTTAGGCAGACTAAGATAGATAAACATCATTTATAAAATATTAGCTATATTATAAAATTCTCTAAGTCTCTCTCTAAATTCTCATAGCCTACGAAATCAAATATTCTTCTAAGAATATTTTCATCTCATACCTGTGTACAGCATTGCAAGTTCTTCAAATTCTTCTGTTAAATGATTGAAATTTGTATTTTCAAAATATTTTCTGGGAATAGAAATTCCTGTGAATGAGTTTTTTAATAAATTAATCAATAAAAACTGTTTATTATGAAGCTCATTTAGTAAACCTGACGCCAATTTCAATTTCTTTTCAAGTTGCTTTCTTTGCGAGTTAGGAAACTTTCATGTAAATCTTAGTTTATCTAAAATTGTTTCTTAGACTTGAAATAAAAATCTTTAAAGCTGTGAAATTGTTTTAAAATTCTTATTTAACAAACAGTTGTGCAGCTTTGAAAGTCTTAAATACAAATTTGAAATACCTGCTCAAGTTAGCGAATTTGAAGATTTTTGATATTGAAAAACAATTTTAATTAAATTACTTTGTTTATTTACTTTGTTTATTTAAGTTTTAATCTTTTTTTAAAACTTTTTTATTTTTTATATTATTATTATTTTTTGCAAATGTCAATTATTTGATACACATAATTGAATATGTCTTATAAGCAAGTATCAACTTCTCTTTCTCCACAGTGCACTGAGGCCCCAACTTAAAAGGCATCCTCAGTTGTTTTTTATAATGTCCTTTCCCTGGACAACCCTTTTAGTAAACTTTGCTTAATTACATGCCCGCACCCGTTAAGCACATATTTAACACACATATACATACGCACACATGCAGGCTTTGAGTAAACATAAATATTTTCTCAGCAGTCGACCCCCCGCGTGCCCCTTTTAGTCGCCGCCTCTGCGCTCAATGCTAGGCATTGACCAGCACTTGGCTGCAGAATTAGCGTTTGTTGTAAAAATAAATGTGTCTGTATGCGTGCGTGTGTGTATGTGTATGTGTGTGTGTGTGTGTGGGTGTCAGTCTGTCTGTGTGCACGGAGTGTATGGCTGAAGCATAAACAAGAAAAGTCCATAAAACACTTAGGATCAAACAATATACGAGGAACGTCAGCAAAATGTTGCCTATTTAGTGGCGCTCGGTGCGGCGGCTCTGGCGCTGGCTAAGAGGAGCATTCGGCTGGTCAGCTGCTCAGGTCAGAATTAGAATTGTGGGCCAAAAGTCACGTTCAGCAACTTAGTTATTAGAGGAAGCATGTCACAGCCCCTGCCCCTGCCCCTGTCCCTGCCCCAGTCCCTGCCTCCTGTTGCCCCCTTGGCCTAAGCCATCGATTTTATTGCTACACATAATTCTTTGACGGACGGCATTTGGCAAATCTCATGTTGATGGCATATTAAGTGGGGCAGCAGTTGCTTTTGGCGGCCAATTTGCCTTTAAATGCGTCATTTGTGAACGCTCGGGACTAGTTTTGGTGGCAGGTGGCAGCATTTTGTGGCAACTTACGTGTAATTAGACGCGTCTGGGGCGTCAGAGTTTTTGTGGCGCGAGGATTAGCAATTAAGCGTATGTCCTGTGTGTGCGAGGCAACAAGCGCAACAAGTGCTAAAAGGCACACGCATAATCCCAGCAAATTACACACCCACACACACACACACATACAGACAAGCTCCCAGAGACAGCGACTGGCAGTTGTATAAGTGAGAGGCAGCGCATAAATCAACATGTCAAATCGCAGCTTAACAACAGACGCTCGCACACACAGACACGCACACACTTAGACTGATAGCCAACAGCAGCACACACATACACACACAGCTGACATAACTGTTGTTAAAATCATATTTCAGCTTTACCATTGTTTCGACTTGCAATATTCTAAAATTTCCGGCAATTTCCTTTAGCTTCTCTCTTGAATTTCACCAATTTTCGCCAATTGTCTGCAGCAACAGTTTGTACAGTTATTTTGCTTTTTTGTATTCTTTTTTTTTGGTTTTTCTTGTTGCACTTCCGTTTCCGCTTGGACGCGCGCTGCTACTGCAACTGCCGCTGGTTGCCGCACAATATGGCCCGACCGAGCGCGCACGCAGCTCGAGCTGAACTGTGGCATGCCACGCGACTCAGCTGCATTTTTCTTGAGACTGGCCAAACGCCAAAGCTTTCAAAGCTCCCGCTTCCAGCCTGGAAGTCCTTCAACTGAGAGCGCTTTCTTTTCAAATTCGGTTTCATTTTATAAATGTTTTGCCTCTGATTTTGCGGTTAAATGTAGTTGCCTCCTATTATGCGGCTGGCAGTTGATGGTTTATGATGTTTTGACGTCTTCTCTTTGCTAAAACTTTCTTATCTTTTTCCGCATGTTCCCCTTTAGTTGATTTAGATTTCGCTGGCTTCAGAAAACTTTGAAAGATTTCCTTTTCAGTTTTTATTTAAAAAATATTCAGCCAAAAGTTTCAGCGTGCGAGAACTAAAACAGAATTCTTATTATTTATTTTATTTTCATTTAAATTTTTTATATATAAACTTATGAGTATAATACCCAACCAACAAAATTTAGATTATAGACCTAAGCTCATAGGTGACACAGCAAACCTCAAAATCTTCTAAGCTCTTACAGCTAGAAACTTAAGTATTCGATTATTGAGTTTCAGTTGAGTTCCTCTATCGATGCACCATAAAAATCTCCAATAGCTTTCACTGCTTTGGAGTCTTAGCCCCTAAATTTTATAGTCAACTGAATTCATTGCAAATGGGAACTCAGGATATGATGGTTTTTGTGTAATGTATGCAGCATAACCGAATAAGTCGTGGCAAAACACATCAAGAACTGAGTCGAGCCAGCAATGCTCGTCTGCCATAGGATATAACTAATCAGTTTTAAATTAAAAATATAAATTATACCCGCTTTATATAGACATCCATTGAGACTATAGCATAGACGAAAAGGTATATCTTCCAGAGCTAAATCATTTTCAACTTTCTAATATATCTTTCCCTTATGCTCCTTTAATCAATGAAAAGTTCAGGTGCAGCAAATCAAAACAAGTTCATTTCAATATGATAAAATCTTTTAGTTTTATTTAAAGTTTCATATTTTTTGTTGTAATTTTTTAAATTTTCTTGTGATTTCTTTTATACAGATCTTAACTTAAAGCTTACAGATAGACACTTATACAATAAATAGTTTTGGAAGTATGCGGCTTAAACTCTAGAGAAACGACTAAGTGAAAATTGTATTGTTAGTATAGTCTTCGGGGTTATATAGAGTATATAAGGTTGTGTATGCGGGCGGGACTATAGGTTATATGCGTTTTTTGGTACGGGGGTATAGGGTTTGCTTAGGTTATAGGTGGTGCAAGGCGGGTAAAGATGTTTGCATGTGATGAATTTGTGATAAATTCTGTCGCTTCCTCGACTCTTCTTACAAGTCGGCAACGCGTGCTTTCAGGTTGTCCAGCTCGGCATAGATGCTGGCGGGCAAATCGGCGCCCACCTGGGACTCGAAGTAGTTGCGTATGTCCTGCACCTCCTGTGTCCAGAAGTCCTTGGGTAGCGAGAACAGCTGCTTCACATCGATCTGCTCCTTCATGCCGGACAAGTTGAGTTCACCATCAGCGGGTATGTGACCAATGGCAGAGTCGACATAGCAAGGCTCGCCGTTCACACGGCGCAGAATCCACTCGAGCACACGGGAGTTCTCGCCGTATCCGGGCCACATGAATTTGCCCTGATCACTCTTGCGGAACCAGTTGACATGGAAGATCTTGGGCACCTTACCACGCTTCTCCATGCTCAGCCAGTGAGACACATAGTCGCCAAAGTTGTACCCAAAGAAGGGCCGCATCGCGAAGGGATCGTGCATGATCACCTTGCCCTTGTGCTCAGCCGCAGCTGTTGCCTCGCTGCGCATGGCGGCACCAATGAAGACACCGTGAGTCCAGTCGCGTGCCTCATAGATTAGAGGTACGCCAGCTGGACGACGACCGCCAAAGAGCATCGCAGAGATGGGCACGCCAGCTGGATCCTCCCAGGCGCCATCGATGATGGGGCACTGAGCTGCAGGTGTGCAGAAGCGAGAGTTAGGATGAGCAGCTGGTTTGCCCGACTCCTTGGTCCAGGGGTTGCCCAGCCAATCGGTGATCTGTACATTGGGTGCCAGGCTGCTCTCCATGCCCTCCCAGTAGACGCCGCCATCTGAGGTGGAGGCCACGTTAGTGAAGATGGTGTTCTTGAAGACAGTGCTCATTGCAATGGGATTCGTTTCCTTCGATGTACCAGGAGCAACGCCAAAGAAGCCATTCTCGGGATTGATGGCACGCAGCAGACCCTGTGAATCGAACTTCATCCAGGCGATGTCATCGCCCACGCACTCCACCTTGTAGTTGGCTAGCGAGGGGTTCAACATGGCCAGATTGGTCTTGCCGCAAGCCGAGGGGAACGCGGCAGTGATGTACCTTTTGACGCCCTTGGGATCGGTGATGCCCAGAATAAGCATGTGCTCGGCCAGCCAGCCCTCTTGCTTGGCAATGGTGCTGCCAATGCGTAGGGCAAAGCACTTCTTACCCAGCAACGAATTGCCACCGTAGCCAGAGCCGTAGGAGACAATCAGGTTCTCAGCGGGCTTGTGCAGGATGATGGTACGCTCGGGATCGCATGGCCAGGATGGCTGCTCCACTACACCACTAGCAGGTGTACCCACCGAGTGAAGGGCGCGCACGAACTCCTCCTTCTTTGCCAACTGCTGCAGCACGGCAGCACCCATACGGGTCATGATGCGCATGGAGGCGACGACATAAGCCGAATCGGTGACCTCAATGCCAATCTTCGACAGAGGTGATCCCACTGGACCCATGCTGAAGGGCACCACATACATGGTGCGACCCTTCATGCAGCCAGGGAAGCGCTGCTGAATAGCAGCCTCCATGTCCACGGGCGAAATCCAGTTGCCCAAAGTTCCCTTGACACCCTCCTTGGGCGTGGGAATAGTTTCCTCACGCTTGTCGGTGCAGATAAAGGTCTTGGACTCCACACGGGCCACATCACCGGGATTGGTGCGTGCCAACCAGCAGTTCTCGTACTTGGGCAGCGCCACAATGGTGCCCGACTCCAGCAGAACCTTGATGAGCATCTTGTTCTCCTGCTCGGAGCCATCGCAAATGTGCACCTGATCGGGCTGGCAGAGAGCAACTGCCTCCTCCACAAAGCTGCGCACACCGGCAGTCAAGGAGTTAACGTCGCCATACGAGGTGGGAATGCCACGAATGTGGCTATACAGACCGCAATTGTCCTGACGGAGCTTGTGCAGCTGGGGTAGAGCACAGCCATTGGCGGAGCTGAAGAGAAAAAGAGAAAAAATTTATAAGTGAAAGTTGCTATAGAGAGAGACGGCGATGAGATGTGGAGAGACAATGCATAGAGTTGCCAAGTATATACTATATATATATGTATATATAAATATACACAGATAGTCGTATATATGTATGTATTTATGTGCTATTTTACTTTTGAAACAAAATTGTATTGTCGATAAATTTCAGACATTTTTAATAATATTTTTAAATGTTTTAAAAAATTTGTAAGCAAAATATTTAAATAAATTAAATATGTATATATATTCGCGAAGAATTCATTTATGAAAAATATTTATTAAAACACAATAATTTTAAAACTATTTTTGCACAATTTTTTTTGCTCTTATTTCGCACAAAGCACAAATGTTTTTTCTGATAAAAATACTTTATGGGGCATGCAACATGCTAGAGTTTTCTGGGTGTGGTGATGCATATGCTTGCCGTTCATTGCTATTTTTGTTGTTGTTGTGGAAACAACGCGTACTTACATAATTTTGCTTTGTTCAATGAGCTCAGGCATTTTGTTAGTTGTTTATTTTTTTGTTTTGCTTTATATTTGTATTAAAAATGAATGTTCTTTCAAAAGACTTTGGAATATGGCGCACTAATTAACGTTTCGATTTCTTTGCTTTGGTTTGGGCAAAAAAATCTGTTAAGTATCACAATTTTAATTATCACAATTTCAACTTGTTTTTTTTTTTCTGTTCTTTATTGTTTTATTTTCATATGTTTTTCCAGAGTTTTTTGTCAAATATCAATTTGATTTTCAGATCACTGAAATTGAAAGTTTCACTTGATCTTTCCATTTACTCAGTCCACGAGTAACTGATGCCAACTGCTTGCTGCAGTCGGCCTTTTATACGCTGTTGCCTGCCTGGCGCCTGCCCGATGCGACTAGAACATGATTAACGGGGGCCGCACGATCGGCTGCTTTTCGACTTCGGCTCGTCTCGGCTCGACTCGGATCGCTTTATTTGTTTCGGTCTTTTTATGACTCTCGCGCGCGCCTCAGGTCAAACTTCGGGCCAGCTGATTGGCTGTTAGGTCGGAGGCTCGGCAATTGTTTTGGTTTTTCACTGAGCTTCTAGGAGAGAGAGAGATATCGAGAGAGAGAGGGGTGGGTTGCTTGTGCCGCTTGACAACAGGCCTTGTTGTCATTGTCGCTGAAGCAAGTTACAGTTTATTTTTGTTTCTCAGTTCATTTTGTTGTTTTTTTTTTTTGATTCGCCGCTCTTGTATTCGTTTTTGCTGTTATTTTGATAGCGCGCCTTTTCGCAATTGATAAGATTCATTTAGCGCTATTTACGCTCCACTTGGCTGTTATTTGCTTTTTCGCCCTGTTAGCTGCTGCTAATTTAATTACTTTGTTTATTTATGTTTTCCACTAGATATTGTTCCAGTGCGTAAATAGCTTAGTTAATGTATATATTGTCAATTACGTATCAGTAAGATCTACCTACGTATAATTTTCGTAACATGGTCTGCCCCTTTGTCTGTGCGTTCGTATCGAAAATTCACAGAACTCAGGTTGACTAATAAAATTATTTTTATGCTTTGATTCACATTGATAATATAAGCATATGTGCATCTATCATTTCCATAATCGCCATGTGTAATCTTTAATATACTATATATATATATATATATATATATATATATATATAAGACTATTTTACTGCCTTGTGATAGGCTTTACCAACTTTGTGATTATTAATATATTTATCAAGTTTATAAAATGAGTGTTCCATAAGATCTATAAATTCCTCTTATTCATCTTATATATATGACCTGTGATTTTTTATTTATTTTCTTTATAATATGTATAGCTTCTATGTTAGATAATATACATATATATATATATATATAATCAATAATAACTGAAATGAGATGGCAAGTGTACCCCAATTTCGTGCCCCTTAATGATCAACACATATTTACCTTATCAATCTTCCTAGTTCAATGTTATATGAGTTCATATGGATTCATCAACATGTTTAAGAAGAAGAATTCCCTCTGTATACACATATATATATTTTATTTACATACCGTTCTTCCCACGCCCACCTGCCTTTCACCTTATCCCTTTTATACATAAGCCCTATATAATTGCCCTACTCCTCCGCTCCTCCTCCTCTCGGACTGACATGCACGCGCCCACCTACGCATTCTGCCACGACACAGAATCACATGGCCGTTTCGATTTGTCACATTGCCAGAACATATATGCTTTGTTTGGCCACTTTCGCCTATTGGCGAAACTGGTGACGGGGAAGATTTTGATGATCTAGCAAAATTCTGTGCTGTTCTATAATAATGTTGGCCATGGCCATCAGCCAAACGGTTTGGAGGCCATGAATGGATGTTGTGAATTTCACATGACATGACGCGAATAGCCGCATGGATATTATCATGTGCTCTTCGAAGGAGAAATGAAGGTTCTCAATAATTACGTGGGAATAAAGGTGATCTCTCTACCCAAAAGTAAGTGGCATTTAAATCGGGCAGCTGACCTTGTAGTGGAGGCACTCGTAACCTTGAAATCCTTTTAAAGTTCCGTTAAAGTTTGTTTTATCAGCCAACCTCCACGTGCCTCTATAATTGGTAACTGAAAAAGCATACAACAAAAATTGTACAAAAATTCGCGGAATTTTTTTTCGGTGTATTTATTTTTAAACCATGGACTTGTTTTTCTAGTTCAGCTTGATAAGCAGCATCATCATCATCACAATCATCATCAACTGTCTGCCTGTGCTGCCCTGCCTGCCTGCCTGCCAGCCAGCCTCCCCCTCCTCAGCCTCTCACTTCCTCAATCCCTATGCCCCTGGTCTCAGCCCCGCGTCGTGCAAAGATCGTCGTGCTATATAGCCAAAGCGTGTTTGATGACTTGACTTTTTTGAATCTACGTCAATGAGTTGGCGGATCAATAAATAATAATGAAAACCAATATATATATATATGGACCTTATCAACCTGGACAAACGGGCCCCTGGAGTCTAGATGCAATGGAAAATATTATTTTCTAAAAATAGAGCCAATCTCTGTTTGTGCAATCCGGATCTAGAAATTGTTGCATTTGCTTACGAAAAAATGCCAGATTTTACTACAGCAGGCTCTAGACTTCATTATGTTAGCTATTCTGATAGATCTTGAATTCCCATAGACCTTAGACCTGATGAGCCAGAAATAGACTTTTTAATTTCATTTGCCATAAACTAAACTTTGATTAGATTCTATGATATTATTTAGTTATACTATATAATGTATACCAATAATTGTTGCAATATATCTTATCTTTGTCTTGAAATAAATATGTTCGCCTAGTCTAAGCTCCATATCAAAACACATCTAATAATTTGTGATAAAAATATATCAAACAACCAGAAATAAGTATTTTTATCTGGCGTTGAAAGCATCAATCCATTTGCTAAGCTGTGCTTCATTCGTGTTGTTTGGGATCTTAAGAAATATTTCATATCTTCTATCTCAACAAGTAGCCCATATACTAGAAAAATTAGCCAAGAATCTTAAGTTATCTTCAGTTAAATATAATATAGCTCTCGTGTAGTTGCAATCTGAAGGGCTAAATATTATTTATGAACCTTTAACCGGATCTAGCAGAACCCCTTTCTTGGGCACACTGAACGTGTTATCAGTGCTGTGTTAAGGCCTATTTCTTTCTAATTTGCTGCATGTTGGATCACACCACCCCATGACCAGGCCTTTAATCAGACCTTGGCAACTATGGAGGCACGTTTTCGAGCGCCAAGTTTTTGGTAATTTTTTCATTTGCCTCAATATTTACTTGTTTTTTCTTTCTTCCAGCGATCTTGATAATTCGCAGTGGTGCAGAGGTTAACACGATTATGAATTTATATGCTTGTTTACGCCAATTTTGTGGACGGGCCTCCCTCCCACTTTCTCGCGCTGTCTCCTCTCATAGGCGTTTTGTCTATCTCTTTCTTGCCCGATAAGCCACGCCCATGACCATGGAATGCCGTACAATAAAATCTTGCTCGTGCTGGTTTTATGAGACTTTATTAAACTAAGATTATGAATAACCTATGAAACCGCACAGAGTGGAGCGATTATGCACATCACATGTTGGCCACACGATTCTTCAGTTCTGTCAGCTGCTCTGCTACGGGGCGTGGCAAATGACTGCCCACTTGGGCCTCGAAGTACTGTTCGATCTCTTTGACCTCCTGCTGCCAAAATTCTTTGGGCAGTTCGAACAGCTGCTTGAGATCCACTTCGCCTTTGACGCCTTCAACATTCAATGCACCCTGGCTGGGCAGCAGGCCGATGGGCGACTCCTCGAAGCATTTCTCGCCTTCCACACGACGGAAGATCCAGTCCAGAACACGCGAGTTATCACCGAATCCTGGCCACAAGAACTTGCCCTCATTGCTCTTGCGGAACCAATTCACGTGGAAGATCTTGGGCACTTTTCCGCGCTGCTCCATGCTCAGCCAGTGCGCGAGATAGTCACCAAAGTTGTAGCCAAAGAAAGGACGCATCGCGAAAGGATCGTGCATGACTACCTTGGCCTTGTGCTCAGCTGCGGCAGTTGCCTCGCTTCGCATGGCAGCTCCTATAAAGACGCCATGTGCCCAGTCGCGTGCCTCATAGACCAAAGGAACGCCTGCGGGACGACGACCACCAAACAGAATCGCAGAGATGGGAACGCCGGCGCTGTCCTCCCAGGCGGGATCAATAATTGGGCACTGAGCAGCAGGAGTGCAGAAACGGGAGTTGGGATGAGCAGCCGGCTTACCCGATTCGGCTGACCAGAGTTTGCCCAGCCAATCGGTGACTGTGACATTGCTCAACTGTGATGCATCCATGCCCTCCCAGTAAACACCGCCATCCGACGTGGAGGCCACATTGGTAAAGACCGTATTGCTGAAGATGGTGTCCATGGCGATGGGATTGGTGGCACGCGAGGTGCCGGGTGCAACGCCAAAGAAGCCATTCTCGGGATTGATGGCGCGCAGCACGCCCTGTGAGTCGAACTTCATCCAGGCGATGTCATCGCCAACGCACTCCACCTTGTAGCCCGGCAGACTGGGCGTCATCATGGCTAGATTGGTCTTGCCGCAGGCCGAGGGAAAGGCGGCTGCCACGTAAATCTTCTTGCCCTGCGGATTGGTGATGCCCAAAATTAGCATGTGCTCGGCCAGCCAACCTTCCCGCTTGGCAATGGTGCTGCCAATGCGCAAGGCAAAACATTTCTTGCCCAGCAAAGAGTTGCCACCATAGCCCGAGCCATAAGAAACAATCTCATTCTCGGCTGGCTTATGGAGTATGATGGTGCGCTCTGGATCACACGGCCACGAGGCCTGGGCCTGTACACCACTGGCTGGTGTGCCGACCGAGTGAAGACACTTAACGAACTGTCCGTCACCCTGCTGCAGCACCTGCAGTACTGGAGCACCAGCACGCGTCATAATCTTCATGGACTCTACTACATATGGACAGTCGGTGATTTCTATGCCTATTTTGGAGAGAGGTGAGCCTACGGGACCCATGCTAAAGGGTATCACATACATAGTGCGACCTTTCATGCTGCCAGGGAAACGCTCTCCAATGGCAGCCTTCAGATCCGCATCGGAGATCCAATTGCCAAGCGTTCCGGGCGTGGCATTTGGCGTAACTGGCACCGTCTCCTCCTTGCGCTCTGTGCTGATGAACGTCTTGGACTCCACGCGTGCCACATCGGCTGGATTGGTGCGTGCCAGCCAGCAATTCTTGTACTTGGGCAGTGGAAGGATCGTGCCCTGCTTCAGCATCAAGCCTTGCAGCAGCTTGCTCTCCGCAGAGCTGCCATCGCAGATATGCACGCGATCCGGTTGGCACAGATTCACGCACTTATCCACATAGTCTCGGACAGCCGGCGTCAATGTCTTCACATCTCCATATTGCACAGACAGCGAGCGGCAGACCAGTCGAAAATTGTAACACTTGGGCGGAGAGGCCAATCTGTAAAGAATAAGAATTATCTAAGATAAGTAAAGAGTCGTGAGCTACCTGCTTAGGCATATGTTCAAATCCCAAGATTGCTGCTTTGAGGGCTTACCAATTTTACCTGCCCGCAGCCCGCAGCCCGCTTGTATCTGCATGTTTTGCGCACAACTGTACCTCAATTAGTATTCTAAGTATGTTGGAAAAAAAGAGTTGAGTTGCCGTCACCCGTCGCATTTGTCCCACACACAATTGTAAAACACAAACTGGCTAATCAGCTGTTGGCTGGTTGTGCAGGTTTCTGGCAATACCCTGTAACGCAACCGGTACAAGTGGGTATATTTTTGGCGAGAAGACGGTGGGACCTCTGCAGGCGACTTTTAACTTTAAGACTTTTGTGATATCTGATTCATGTTTTGATGGCTTTCACTTAAGGTCTGATCTATGAATAATTATATTATCTTTTCAACTAGCTCTTAGATGTAGGCACTTAGGAACTTAATTAAATTTAACTCAAATAAATACCTATATCTCTATATTCCTACATCTAAGCCTATATTTACTACAAAAATGATATGAAAAGTTAAAATATCTATGTATTCTAGCGAGGTTCCCATTCTAGACATTTAAAGGAAAGATTTCTATACAGCAAACTTTTACTTAGAGAGTCTCCGACAGTTAGTCAACATTTCTTCGTTTATTATTTGTGTCTGCTGCTTGTGAATTCATGAAAAACTTGCTTCGACTTTTGCACAGCGCGTTCGGTTTGGGGAATCCAAAGCAAAAGCAGCAACTGAGACGCAACCTTCAATAGCCAAGAAAAAGAGAGAAAAAATCCAAGCGAGAGAGAGAAATGTGAAGGCGTCATGACTGCCTCACTTTCGTTCCACTGAACCGGCCAAACTCAATTGAATGATGCAATATTTCATCAGCCAGCCTCTAGGTCGACAGCTTATGCTGCGTTCTCTGTTATGGTTTTTGTAAGAGATAATCTTTCTCTCTCTATATATATATATTTCTGTGCATGATAACAGCTGTTTGTTGACCGTGGTTGTAAGTGCTACAAATATGGCCAGCATTTCACATATGAGCTTATTAAATCCAAAGCCCTTTAGCTTTATATCTATAAGCTGTTCGTCAATATCTATTTATCGACGTAGTTGATCACATTTATCAGCTCTCATATCTAGTATCTGGGGCACACGCGTGTGGTTCTAGTTACATTGCTCGGAGGGTCTAAAGTCCAATGGATATTCACGCCATTGTAGCTCTTCGCTTCAGTGACGTCACACATTTATGTAATCTAATTTTGTTTCGGTCAGACGACCACTTTTTTTCGGAAACTGCGCATTTTCTAGTGGCGCGTTTAGCTACTCAAATACTCTATGCATAAACATATACATTTATAGATATACTATATATACTATATACTATACTATACGCTTGCTTGTGCGTGGTTTGCATGGCAGATTGTCATTGTCCCGGTTCGAGTTATTAACACACATTAACTATATGCACACAGCTTGACACATGATAAAAAATACTCGATGCTGTATCTCAAATGTCGTCAAGCTAATTTACCAAACCAAATGTAGAAAGCAGAGGAATGAAATGCTCTCTAAGCGTAGATAAAACGAAGTATGTAATGGTGCGAGAACTATTACATTAAATTCAGCATTCGCTTGGGGTTTGAACTATGAATTCTCATCGCGTAGTGGGTTGGAATAAAACGTTGACTAAGACAGCTCATCTGATGACAACTGCTTAAATACCATTTTGTATTATTAAATCTTCAGCTAAAACACAAAATACACTATGAACATGCATGTGTGAGAAATTTGAACCATGAATGTTAATTAGGCTAAATAACAGAAATAAGTTTATTATATAATATTTGAAAACCTCGCAAATAGCCGATTAAATATATTTATTTATATAGTTAGTTATTTATAGACAAAATAAAATTTATTTTTAATCTTTTTAAATAAACAACATATTTAACAAATGCTGTTTGGAACACTGTTTCAAGTAATTAACATATTTTAATTTATATAAAATTAAAAATTGATTTTAATATAATGAATATTTACTTTTGAGATAAAATATGAAAATATTATGCGTATATATATACAGTGATTTAGCGTATATAGTATAGTATAATATATAGTATGGTAAAACATATAAAAATCTGTTGAGTAACAAAATATTTCACGTGATAAATTCAGACTTATTTGAATTTCTTTTTATTTGTTGTTGAACAAAGTCAAGTTAAACTGCGATATTGTCTACTATATAATATGCCTATAGCATTCTTGATCAATTTCCCCAAGCAATTTATATATTTATATATACATAGTAAATATTTGTTCGATCGATAAATTGTGCGCATTCTCTCAAACTAACCTTCCTTCATTTGCGTCAAATCAAATCGCGATTCGCTAATTAATTTGTCTGCTAATTCAAAGCGAATGAATATTTAATAAATGTTTGTGTTGTTTTATCAAATTGACAGCGTTTGCGGCGATACGCAGAGAGCTCTTTTGCTTATCTTTTGAAACTTTTGCGAACTTCTTGTATACAGAAAAGCGAAACCTAAGACCCGCCCAGATTAAACATTGACTATAATTTGTGAAGCCACTGCTAATCTGCCTTGTCTTTTTATGAGCCTTTTAAATGTATTTTGTATATTTATTTTTTATTTATGCCATTTTAATGTGCCAAGCTCTTGCTAATGATAAGAACTGACCATAGTTAAGTGGGAAAGAGCTCTCGCTGCTTTGTTTACTGCAAATGTCCAAAAATTCAGCTGCGAGATTTTTGTTATCAGCTTTGACACTTGTAGCTAATTATTCGGTACAGACGACTCGACAATTTTTGATGGCAGCCACGCGCTCAAAACAAACGAAGAGTTCAATTTCTAATCAGCTGAAACAAACAGATAACAAATGCGAAAGGTAATGGGCATTTCAAATGGAATGCAAATGGGATCAACAGTGCTCAGCTTGGCACGCTCTGCAGTGCGTTTGTTCTCTTGGCATTTTGCAAATAGCAAATGCATTTTAATGCTAAGCGCATGTTCACAAAACATGTGTGCTTGCGAATACCCTGTACACCCTGAATTCTCTACCAGATATCCAGAATTAGTAATATGTTTTATGCCCATCACAATCATTCTTTTTACATTGCCAGCTAGTCGTAAAATATTCCCATTTTTAAACTTATTTTGGCTCTTAAATTATATAATAATAATGATCCAAGTACGTTTTATATATTTATGTGCACAATATACCTTGTAATGCCAAATTCTTCTCTACAAAACCCTTTTCATACTTTATTCAAACAATCTTTTCAGACTTTTAAAAGACTTGGCAAAGACAAAGAATGCTCATAGGCAAAGGAATACCCTGTATTTTGTATTTAATTAATGTAATTAAGTCATTGATTGCCTTTTTGCATGCTGAGAACACATTGTTTGGTTTCTAGTACAGGGTATATGCGCCTCTTGCGCCTATTTTGGTGGGCATGCCGCAACGCATACTGGCAGCTGCTCTTTGGTACATTTTATTTTCGTGCCGCATATTTATTTTTATTTTTATTGAGATTTTCACGCGTTGAAGGAATACGCAGAAAATTTAAAAGCGCGTGTGTTTCTACTTATATACATAAATATATATATATATATATATGGCATATATATACATTTATATATATGTATATGGCCAATTTATAGCGACAACTATATGTAGTTGGATGCGTCTGGGTGTACACACATTTTGACGTGGCATTTTTATTTTTGGATACGTGGCAACAGTAAATGAAAATTTCCTTTTCAGCTGATTTCAATAGACAATTTTTAAAGGAAATCTCTTCGTTAAGCGGTCAGCTTTTTCTCTCAATGAACTTTAATTTGTCTTTGAACAAGTTCATCAACCAAGTCAACTAGCCGTGGCCTTAGTTTCAGCACCAGACAGACCGCAATAAAGCACAATCACACACTCGTTAAAGGGCACCGCTAATCACACACGCACACACACACATTAAGATTTACCCATCGAAGTATTGGTAGCCACTTTTCACTCTTATCAGCTGGCTATCGCAGCAAGCAAGCAAATCAAACCAGTTCCACAGCTCCGGTTTGAACCAGTCGCAAGCGACAGCAACGCAAAGCAGAAACAAAATCAAGCAAAATAAAACACAAATTGATGACGACGCGTGGCTAAAAAAGCTAAAAACATTTGATTTTGTTTTGCTTTAAAGATTTGTATGCATCTTATATGTGCCAAATCGTTTATATCTGAGAGTCGATCAGCTGTTGCACAGTTCAACTACAGTTATAGACGTCATAGCATATTACCATATAATGCAATAACCAGTAATTGGCTTGGGACATTGGGCAAAATATACAAACGCCTATCTGAGCATAAACATTTGTATATATAATGTATATTTTTATTCTTGGTTACTCCTGTGTCTGCTCTATATAAATAATTAAACTGTGAACTGGTTTTATAGCTAGAATTAATTTGAGTCGCAAACGCTATGGAAGGTTTTTCCATAGCTGACTTGACGTCACATGTTAATCTATATACTATACAGAAAAGGCAGGAAAACTTTGGAATTATATTTTATTTATTATATATATAAATATATATATATATGTATATTTATATATATATATATATATATATATATATATATAAGAATCCGGGTTCGAAACTCATTTGCGTGTGTTTCGTATTTTAAAAATATACTAAACTAAATTATATTATAGATTTTAGCTGTTATATTACGTTTTCCTATACGAACAACAATGAGATTGCCTTTAGCAGTATTTCGTAAGAAAAATGATTCAATAATAATTTTTGTGGATTTCTTTTTTTAATGAGTAAAAGGAAAACCCTATTACGATTTAATTAATTAAACAACATTTTCATATTTGCATTTTTAAATGCTTATTTATTTGAGACCTATATTTATTGATGCTATGGAAAAGGAAGTCTGAAACTATTGTATATTTT